GCAACATGGTTTTAATAGAAATGAATGCCGAATTAGAGTATAACAGGGTACCCAAATTTAAAAAAAAATCGAAGCTGGTGTTTTTTTTTATTCGCATTGGAATTTTTCTTTGTTTGATTTTTTTCCCATGTTTGCCTAAATATATTGTAACTATTGTGTCACTCAGATACCTTATTTATTTTTTCAATAATAGCCATATATTCGTAAAATAATGTCTGCAAGTTATGTAATAATGATTAAATTATTTCATGAGATACAGATTTCCAAAGTTTGCCATTTGTCGTTCGAGCAGGCATGTTTGGCAATTTTTAGAAAACTAAATAAATTTTTAATAAATATTATTACTTTATATTACAAGCAAGTTGTAATTGCTTTAGTTGCACAACTAAAGCAATTACACTTTCACAATACCAATAAACATACCTACTATCCGGTACAACCGAAATCACAAAAGTTATTCATGTTATTTTCCGGCGAAGAGACAAAATTCACGCGCGTTTTCCCATAGGAATACACAGGGAGGCTGGAAATGTAAACTGCATGCTGTCTGCTTCAATTTGCAACCGGAAGTCGCGTAGACACTAGCGCCAGCTGAGCCTTTAGCGTTTATTGTAATAACTCTATGGTCGGGACCACTTTCGTTACACGAGCCGTATGTAAGACGCGAGATACACCTGTCGGAAACGCGTTCCAGACAGCGTATTGATAATCGAAAACGTGTCATAAACCTATTTCGAGAAGAGAACGAAGACGATTACCGCTGCCTATTTTTGCCCACTCAAATAACTCGGTGCAGCAGTCCCGCAGACACTAACGTTGCCGAGATATAACAGGAACAGCCAGCAAATACGTGCAGAGCTAAGCGTACGCTCTTACACGACCTTCGTTTCGAAGATAATTCAGATGATTCCTATTAACCGTGTAATCTTCTCTTTTTTCTTTCTTTTTTCCAGCTAGCTACCGCGTTTTGCTCCTTACGCACATAGAGCCAATTACCGTACCCGCAAACGTCGAAGGAAAACGCGAGCAGCTCGTTCCGGAATTTGGTTGGGCATATTTAAAGAGGAACCAAATCGAAAGTGCCTTCTCTTTCTTTTTGTTTTCTTCTTTTCTTAACGGCATACGCTTTACCTAAGCCGTCCGCCATTCTACGTCAGAATTATGGAGCAGTAATCGAATCATGCCCCCTTCTTCATACGAAGAGCAGCAGCGCACAGAACGCGTCTCCCTATTCGTACCGCGGAAGCGGGAGGCGAGAGCTGATGATTTAAAGGAGTCGTTTCTCTGTATGCACGTAGTACGTTCCGAAGCGGCGTGCTACACACACGAACCTGTAATGCGACCGAGCGAAACGTGTATTCGATGCCGGTGGCAAAGAACTGCAGCTTATTTTGTGTTCCCCAAATGCATCCTTGGCGCGAACGCCAACGAGACGGCGACCATATTGTTATAGTAGTGTACGCTTGAGGTTCAACCGGCGCTAGTGTCTATGCGACTTCCGTGACGCAAATTGAAGCAGACAGCAACCAGTCTACTTTTGCGGTGCTCCTGTGCATTCCTATGGGAAAACGCGCGTGTATTTTGTCTCTTCGTCGGAAAATAACACGGAACACTTTGGTTATTTGAGTCGTACCGAATAGTATGTGCCTTTTTTAGCACTCTAAAAGTGTAATTTATTTATTTTATTTATTTATTTATTTATTTAGAGATACTGCCGTCTACCATTTGGCAGCCAAGGCAGGAGAGGGCACACAGGGCAACACACAAGAAGAAAACCACATTGCACGCTAGTGAAAGAAAAAGCATCTAGGACTGCACATCTAAAAAATAACGCTGTAATGATGAGGCGAATTCCTGAACGGACGAGACATTGGTAATGTTGGCAGGAAGACTATTCCATTCGTTAATGGTTCGTACGAAAAAGTAGTTTTTTAAACATTGGGTTCTGCTGTAAGGTACCACAACTGTGTTGCAGTGCTTGTGTCGTATGTGACGGGATGTGTTAAATTGCATAAATCTGTCGAATGAAAGGCGAGATGAGTTATGTACAATGGTATGCAAAAGCTTTAGACGATTAATTTTGCGCCGGCTTGAAAGAAGCTCAATTTTCGACCTATTGTACAAGTTAGTGATAGAACTCATTCTTCTGTACTCGTTGTAAATGAAGAGCAGTGCTTTCTTCTGTACCCCCTCGAGTCGATCAATATTAAGTTTAGTCGCAGGGTCCCAAACAACATCCGCGTATTCTAAGATAGGTCGTATTACTGTCGTGTAGATTGCTAGCTTGGTTTCAGGGGTACAGTGCTTCAGCCGCCTCTTCAATGACCATAGCTTTGCTGATGCCTCCTGAGCAGTCCAGGATAAGTGGCTATTTCAACTGAGGTTCGAGGAGATAATGACACCTAAGTATTTGAATTCGTGCACTACTTGTAAAGGGGAGTTTTGTATACAGTAGTCAAATTCCAAGGGTGACCTCTTGCGCGTTACTCTCATTTGTACACTTTTCGAGCTGTTTAGCAACATTTGCCATTCGTTACACCATTGAGAAATTGAACACAGGCACTTGTTTAAATTAAGTTGGTCATTGCTTGAAGCTATTTCAGTAAAAAGCACACAGCCATCTGCGAAAAACCGGCAGTGTATACGCTCATCAACCGTCAAATCGTTTAGAAAAACAAGAAAGAGCAGTGGGCCCGAAATAACTGATACAATGGGGGAAAAGCCCCACCTACTTCAACGAACTGATGACGGTTGCTCAGGTATGAATCCAACCATCGCAAGAGATTATCGTTTCCTAGAATCACTCTTAGCTTGATAGGTTGTTTGCTGTGTGACACGCGATCAAAAGCCTTGGCGAAATCTAGGAGTACTACATCCATTTGCTTCCCCTTGTCAACGACTTTAGCAAGTTCATTTACTATATAAAGGAGCTGAGTTACCGTAGAGTAGTCACGCCGGAAACCATGCTGGCTCTCTGATAAAAAATTATTCGATTCAAAATGTGACATGAGATGACTAAATAAAAAATGTTCTAGAACCTTGCTGCACGAGCAGAGCAAGGAAACGGGCCTGTAATTCGATGCGTCATGTTTATTTCATTTCTTATGAATGGGTATAACTTTTGCCACTTTCCACTGATTAGGTGCCACCCCTCTCTGTAGCGATCTGCTATAAATTAGGAAAAGGAATTTAGAACACCACTTAGCGTACCTTTTCAAAAACACATTAGGAATTTTGTCTGGACCGCAAGACTTTTTTGTATTCAAATTTAGTAACGCAGAGAAGATTCCATCCTCTGATAGTTGTATGTCTGGTACGTGAGCGAGTTTAATCGAGAATTCAGGAACGAAGTTGTCACTTGTGGTGTACACAGAGGCAAAGTAGTCGTTAAATGCCTTAATTACCTTCGCGATTGAATTATTATCAACGAATTCTCTCCCATGTTGAATGATCTTGTTAACTGAGTGTCTTGAACCCGATATATGCCTCCAAAACTTGTGTGGATTGTTACGAAGAAAGTTCGACATTTTAACATTGAAATACTCTAACTTGGAATTCTTAATGAATGTTCTCAATTTATGACGTAAGGCAGTCAATTCTATTTTGTTTCCGCGTTTTCTGCTTAGCCTATTGGCTTTCCTTTTGATTTGTAAAATCTTCCTCGTGATCTATGGGTTATTCTTTTTAGTTCGCTTCCTACGAGATGGCACAAATCTTTCTATACACGTTCGCACCGCATTTTGAAAAGTGCACCATAGTTCGTTTACATCGCATCCCGGAACTGAAGCCCTATCAGCAAATCTGTCGAACGATAGCTCGAGGTAATCTATTGTACCTTCGGCTTGTGCTCTATAATAGTCCTTAAACTTCGCTTTCTTACCAGGACAACGTTTGGGGACAAGTCCCGGACAATCAAAAACAACCATATGATGGTCGGATAAACCCTCTGTGACCACACAGTGATCATCGGCAACATACAAATTCTGAGAAACAAAAACAAGATCAAGAATCGAACTAGTAGAATATGTGATGCGAGTGGGACTTGACACTATTTGTGTTAGATTATATGCGAAGGCAATATCAATTAAAGCATCGGAATGTTTACAAGAGGCCACTGTGGTCATTGAAGGCCAATCAATATTTGGGAGGTTGAAGTCACCCCCCATAATTATATTCATGAAACTCTTAGATTGCTCTTGTAAGAAGTCTTGAAGTTCATACATCACACCTGTGCCAGCACTTGGTGGCCTGTAAACAGCTCCAACAAGAAGAAATGAGTTACAGAAAAAACGTTTCACCCATAGAGCCGCAGCTGTGAACTTCGTATTTAGCTGGAAAAAATCAATGCTATTTTTGATAACGATTGCGACCGCCCCTCCCCGGGAGGAACGGTCCTTACGAACAATTTTATAAGACTGCGGAACAATCTCAATATCAGATATACTACCCGTGAGCCAAGCCTTTGTCACTATTATTACATCGGGGTCATAACTGAGAATTATGTCTTCGAATTCAACCGTTTTATTTACAATGCTTCTATCGTTTAAGTTAATTAATCTAAGCGGTTTATTAGTTACAGTGCGGGGATTATTAGTTACAGCACACGGATATTTTCGGGGGCAGTTGACGGAAACCGGTCTAGAACGGGGGGGGGGGGGGGGGGGGGGGTATTGGCCCGTAGTCAACTATACTTCGTTTCAGCTTCGGTCCGAGCGCGGCCGATGTTATGAGCCGATGGCCAATCGAACAGCGAAAGATGCACAACGTCAGGGCGTGCTTTGTGCAGTTGATAGGACCAGCCGGTATTCGCCGTCTCTCTGTGCGTGCTCCTCCGCCGGCTACTCTTATTAAGCGCAGAGAGCACGCCATGACGCTGCACTTTTTGCGGTGTTTGATTGGCCCTTCGGCTCATAACATCGGCAGCGCTCGGACCGAAGCTGAAACGAAGTATAGGATCTTCGTGCCTGGTATAGTTTAGTGGCACTCTTTTGTTCGCACTGTCATCCCAGCGAAAAGCCTTGCCATTTAGTTTTAACTTGTCGAAAGATAACTTTATCGCCATTTGTTCGTAGGTCTTTGGCACTTTCCCATAGCTTTTTTCGAATTTGTTGCACTCGTGGGGAAAAATCTTCCAAAATGCTATAAGCCGAACCCTTCAATAGCCGGGAACTGGTCAAAATTTTAGTTTTGTCCCTACCATCGAGTAGTTTAAGAATGATTGGCCTGGTTTTGTTTGGGCTTTTCCTGCCCAGTAGATGTATTCTTTCTGTTCCAGCAGTTTGAACTTTCAGGATACTTTCAAACACATCTTTCTTCACAAGGTTTTCAAGAAATATGCTATCCTCATCCGTTGTTTCGTGAATTCCGTATACAATCAAATGATTACGTCTGCTCTGGTTTTCTAAGTCGTCAATTTTAGCCATTAGAAAGTCGACATTCCTTTCAAGAGACAAGACCTTATCCTGGAAGGCCGTCACAGTTGCTGTCAGCTTGGTCAGGCTGTCCACTCTTTGTTCGATTGTGGTCAGTCTTTCGTTCGTTTCTGCAATTAGCGAGTCTGTCACAGCCTTCCCTTGTTTTATATCTTTAACGTCTCTGGTGATTATCTGCAGCTTTTCCATAAGCTGAGCCATGTCGGTTCCAGGATTAGACTCGACGTCACCGCTCAACATGAGAAGCATACTACATACACTCCTACAAAGGCGAATAACATCGCACAATGGCCGTGGGCACGGCAACTCGAACAGAAAAACATCATTGCTACTATAGCAGTGTTCGTAACGTTCGTCTCTTAGCTGGACGAAAAGAGCGAAAAGGTTGTTTAGGCGCATAGTCCTGGTGGAGTCGCCGTGCCCACTGACGAGTCCCAAGTGTGGGCGTGGTTTTGTATCCAGCGTTGACTGCGATGACGTTATCGATGGGGCTTGCCAAAGTTGTCGATGCAAAAAATTGTCCGCCGTGGGATTGTTGATTGTTGCTTTGTCAGCGCGTACTGGCGTGATCCAAAGCGGTACACAGTCCCGGTTCGTCGCAGGTCGTTCGATGACTGTTCCTTGCCCAGTTGCGAGAATCGGAAAAGCCACTTGCACCGCCAGTATCTGGACGAAAAGAGCGAAAGGGTTGTTTAGGTACATAGTCCTGGTGGAGTCGCCGTGCCCACTAAAATAATCTAAATTACTTTAGCTAGCGCATTTTTCTTCATCGGTCAACGATGTTAAACGTCGCTATGTTTCTGACCCAAACCTCTGTTCCACAGTAGGCCTTATTCGATCAAACCATTACCCGCGTACCTCTACTAAAAAATAAATGGAATGTCAAGACCGATGTTTATCTGGGCATAGAAATTGAATTTGACGTCCAGTGCGCATTCTCTTTCGAGTTTTTGTTTCGATAGACCAGGGGTGGGGGCCAAACTTCGGCTCACGAGCCGCATGCGGCTCTTCGCGGCTTCAAGTGCGGCTCGCGGCTCCTTGGCGAGAGTGCCCCCCTTCTGCTCCTGTGTTCCCAAGACCAAAAAAAAAAAAAAAAAAAAAGCTTGCATTCATAACAGTTTAGTACTACATTACGTACTGTACATACAGCGGGACTGCTTTTTGACACCCTAGTGACCTTGTTTCCTTTATTGTTATAGAAAAATGTTTGAGTCATATGCATAACGGGTTTCAGGGGCAGGGGCTGGCAGGCAAACCATGCAATCATTTTTGCGTAGCGGTTGCAGAAACGTTCTGCTGCTTGGAGTTATTTGCTGTTGTCAACAATTATACTTCTCTCATTAGAAAAAGACTGTTCCCTCCATATTGTTTCTTGCTAAAAGTAGCCCCCCTCCCCCTTCCCCCCCCCTTTCCCCCACCTCCACTTTTGTTTTCCTGCGGCTCTCTTAATTTTTTGTAATTTTGAAGGCGATACTAACCCCATTTCACTCTTGCCACCCCTGCGATAGACCTATATTGCCAAATTACCCAAGCATCAGAGAGAATGCTGGGAATGCACGCCTACGCGCTGCACGAGCTCGCCTTCCCGGTATAAAAGAATCCAAGTAAATAACCAAAATAAGGCGTTGACGAACGCGCGTGCAATACGCCATTTGGCTTTTGCTTTAGAACCCTAAAGCCTGGTTCAGACAGTTGCGTTTGACTGCGTTTGACTGCGTTGCGGCAGCGAGAAACCAGGACATCCCTGCTGCTTATGTCGCGTGCCAAGGTGATTCCTTGAATTGGATTCCAGGCTTCATACGAAGCACAGATGTGCCGGTGACTCGCTTTCGGCTCTCGATGAAACGCAGTCAAACGCACTCAAACGCAAGTGTCTGAACCGGCCTTTACTGCTGCTGCTACATACGACAGCACGTGCCGCGTTTGGAAGTACACTCGGAGCAGGCTCTTTGGTGTTTGGGTAAATTAGCAAAAGGTATAGGGAGTAGTCACTGGCGGCCATAGCGGTGTACGCGAATGCTGGGCGCGTGCTGATGGCGAGCTTTCACAGTTCTTTTGCAACGTGCATTCCGCACCATCAAGAGTGCCGGTCTTAGCAGCCTATTGATGTGCGGTCGTTTTGAGCATGCGCTCTAAACAGCACCCACAAATATGGCGTCCAGTGTTTCACTTAAGCTGACTCGAAATCCTAAATAATAAAATTTAGTTCAAAGTTCATAGGAATTTTAAATTTGTTCTTCTCCATCTGTTCGTGGCGCACTCTAAATATATTATATTGACTTCTGAATTTGACTTTGAGGCGTTGAAAAACGCGTACTCTACTAGTTCGCTTGTGTTGACCGAGTTGGAGACACGACATTCGATCTATGGTTACTTTAAACACTTTATATCGCTGTGCTCAAAAGCGCATATTGATAAGGGAAAGAAAATTTTAATTTCGGTCGAAGCAAAGCAGCGTCCTCGTCGCTATCGTTAAAGTAAACGAGCGATCGAAGAGCACGAGAAAGCAACAACGTGGCGAACAAGTTACATGATTAGCATAGCTACCGAAAGTAAAGTCAGCGAAGAAAGGATTTTGTTTTGTTTCTTGTTTTTGGCTCTTTGAGAGATTCTTGTCAATATGGATATATAATTACGCGGCTACTTTACATCCTCGCTTGTTCAAAGATAAACCACTGACCGGCGCTGTGCCCGCGATGTTCGACAAAACTTATTTTAAACGAAAACTAATTTTAAAAAAAATATTACGAAGTGAAGCGTGACGCCTATACTCTCGGTTATGGAGAAACGCGAAGGGAAAAGATGAGAAACCTCGGAAGATGGGAATAGAAGCAAAACACTAAATCAATTTCAAAAATAAAAGCGCTTTTTTTTTTTTTTGTGCGGGACAGGTGTGGTTGCGCGGTATGGGTTCATGATGTACCCATTTGCTTCGTCGAAAATTAGAGTTTTAAGTTTATTCCGCGGGCATGCGTGGTAATTTTGGTTGGGCTGTAACAAAACGTACGCTGTTCTCCAATCCGCTATGTGGCGTATACTTTGCGCCATATGAGCCGTGCTTTACGCATATGAAGCAAAGCTGGAGAAAAGCCTCGTGCGCGCGTTGGACCGTTCCAATAATCGTCTTCTTCGTGCTGACATCTTTGCCCGTTAGGCTATAGTCAGCGTGTTTTGATCATGCGCAGTAGCTCTCTTCTACAAAATATTTGACGCTGCGCGTGCGTCCTCAATCCAATGACTCGGCATTTTTTTTTTTCTTCTGTGCAGCCAGGCGTGTCCACGGACGGTGCGGCGGCTAACGTTTGTTTTCCTTCTCGTGTGCGGTAGGCTTAAACCTTTGTCGTTTACGTTTGTGTAATGAAACACTGCGCGCGAAAGCTGCTCGATCCCGGGAATGTGCCTGTTCAAATAGGGACAACGGTTCCACTACTAAACCTGTGGTCGGATTAATAAACATTGGGCTGCGTTTGACACCTCGTGTGTGCTTTTCCCCTCTTATATATGTTCCTCGGTCCCAGTTTTTTTTTTCTTTTTTTTTTTAAGTTAGCAATTATTTGATATGGATGTAGCGGGGGAAATTCATATAACGTCACCCGACTTTATATAACGTCAGGATACAGAAAAAAATTGGCACCACGTGACCCATGCACCAATTCAGTTTCCCCGCTACATTTGGTGATAAAGTTGATGTCCCGCAACCTGACGCCATGGGACCTACAGGCAAATTCAGGTTCCCCGTTAAATTTAGCGGAAAAATGGACGTCTCGTGACATGTGCCCCGATGCATTTTCCCCGCTAAATTTAGCTGAAAAGTTTACGTAACGGATTCTATGGACCAATTCAGTTCCCCCCTAAATGTAGCAGAAAGCTGACGCCAGGTGTCCTATGCACCAATTCTGTTTCCCCGCTAAATTTGGCGGGAAGACACATCACAACCTTAAAATCATTTTTTTTCATTCAGAATGTATTGTCGCTAAATCAACCCAACGCCTCAATATCAGATCACCGGATGACGCATGATTGGCGCAATATCAATCGATCGTCATCGTCATATACTGTCCAATAAACAGCACCGCTGTCAAAACGCATCACACCGTGTGATCGTCGCGCAATTTGTTTTTCAGATCTGCAGCCGTGTGTGGTGGTCATCGCAACCACGATGGGACGTCAATGGGAGAGCTGCATATGAGCATTCTGGTGATATCAGATCGTTAAAATACCCTAAATAGGACGTATGTGGGCCACACCACGGACGCCCTTCTAATCCCCGTACTCTTCAGGGAGCCCAGGACAAACTTTTCCCTTCCTGCAGATTGCCTCATCGCTACGGCGACAAAGGAAGATGGCGTCGAACGACGAGTTCAATTAGTTTGATGATCTGCGTAAAAATCGTTGTGGACTGTTGAAGTCGCTGCATTCTTGAACCAACAGCGACAAAGTTGACACTCCGACGCTGCTCCTAGTCCGTCGATGAAAGAAAGAATAATCCCAATGTCAGACCGTCAACACCTTGGCACTGTTGGTGCAAAAAGGCGGTGACTTCGAACTTCCACCCTGCTTTTTACACACAACATCGAACTTGTCATTCGATGCCATTATGTTACTTTCCCGTTCGACTGGCGGGACAATCCCCAACTCTCGAATAAGTGCACTCCGTTGAGAGTGCACTCCGCTGAGAGTGCACTCCGCCGGAGTGCCCTCTCGACGCTGTCTTGCACTCCGGCGGAGTGTAATGGCGCATCATGCCATGGCACTCCGCCATGACGTAATGCGAGGATTAGCAAGTGTTCATGAGGCGGCGCACGTGATCTCGAATCCCGACGGCGTCTGGTTCCTTCTGTGTAGAAAACCTTTTTGAACGAATTCGCCGTAATTCGTTGGATTTTTAGTCGGCGGAAATTTGAACTATATCCCAGGCGCGTGGTTTCTTCCATGTGGGCGAGAAATTTAGCACACCGGTACGATGCTCGTTCAGATCGTAACGGGCTGCGGCGTGATTCGAGTCGACGATTCCCGAGTTCTGCGGCGTAATTTTTCCCTCCACGTTATTCTCCTTATGTGCTTAGCTTTGAAGCCAAGTCTGCTAATGAACAAGCGCTTGCCTTGTTCTGCAGTTGGAAGAACCATGGCCGGGCTAGATTAAACGAAAGCCCTTTGATTTGTTTGCGTTTGTCTTGAAAGTGACGGTCCACTGGCCAGTGCACGAGGCCTGTGTCTCGAACGACCCTTAGAAGCAAATGGCGTCGCAGCGCTGAAATGAGCTGTCCTTTGAAGCAATTGGCGGCGAAAAACCCGCTCGTGGCACGTGTCGTGCGCGTTTCCACAATGATTGGTGGAACTTGTAAAAAAAATAAACGCCTTTATTAAGGGGCTTTAGGCTCGAAGGGAGGTGGGCTCACTGCCTGGTTGGGCGTAGTAGG